CAGGCAACCCTTCCCTGGCTCAATTTCCACAAACATAGCTATAATGTAGGTGTGTATAATCTCAATTGGGTCACAGTCAAAGGGACTCCGCCTTACACTGTTATCTTTGAGAAATCGCCTACGCTCTTTTATGTACCTTTTGTTATTCTCGAGATGAGGTGATGTCTGACTCACGTCACTCGCGGAGCTTTACATAGACAGTAGTGCCCTTTAACCCTATACCACACACAGAACACACGTAGTTAGGGCTTCCCCATGTGGAAACAATTAGTACCCTGAGTCCTGCATTTCCTACCACAGGGTCTCTCGGTCTTCCCCATAAGTATGTATTCGTGATCGGTATGGAGCAGGTCCATGTTTTAGCATACTTATATGGGTATTTAGTCTAATTGTTTGGCAACCAACGCAGTCGCTGCTATACCCAGCCATATGGCCCATAGTTCACGGTCCATTTGCCCCCATGGATGGTGTGTAGTACTGAGCGAGTGTGGGTTTATTGAGTGGTTGCAACCGCTTTACCAGTTAATAAGTAGTATTCTTTCGCCAAGGCCGCAACATCGCGGAATGTTTGACGGGCATGGTTTTCAATGCCTGAGTTGTTCGTTAATGTAATCGATCCTCTGGCGTTTTAGCTTGCTCGGATTGGGCAGCCTGTAATTTCTCAATAGCTTGTGATCATGCCGCCTCTCTTCCTGTATTTCAGCCACTGTGGTGACTCGTGAGTTTCGAGAAGAGGAAATTACTCCTCGAAAATGCCAGGGCATTCACTAACGCCCCAATCGACCATCATAGCTATCGGGCCATCTTTACTTCATAATATTTTCAGGTAGTATCCCTTGTTTTACTAGGATGTCTTTGTAGCCATCGCCATACCAAGGTTCATTATGAGCATACCCATATCCTGCAGGTTGAAATCTAGCTTGATAGTTGGTTGTTTAAGCACCAGTTTGGTCAACCGAAATATCCTACGGCTAGACTGGCTACCACTGTGGCGTGGTATGCGTCGTTGACTTAACGCTTCCCCCTCAGACATTATGTATATGCGATATAAAATATTAAATTATAACACGATATGCGGGTCGACCTCTAATTGTGGAGAGGGTTTTCACCGAACTCCTTAGGATTCCTGTGTGGGTTTCCTCCCTGTGTCGTGGTATATAACTCACGAGATAGCCACGCAGCAGTTAAAAGATACACCTAATAAGAGACGCCTCGGGTGAGTCACCCTGATAATTTTATGTTGGTTACACCACCGCTTTTACCAGCAGCTACTCTTTAGGATTCTTCTGCCTGGTTACTGTAGGGGTTGGGGTTCCCCTACTTTGGGGTTTCCGCCAGTTGTGGGGTCTCCCTCCTGGAGGTTTCCTCCAGGTGTGGTGTCTCCTGTGCATCCATCTATACTATTATTATTATTTTTCCTCCTCAAATTGACAATGCTTTGTCGCGGATAATTGCCGCCACCGGGCTAACAACATACCATATTTGTGGTACAGCTCAGCTAATAGAGCTCAAGGCGGTTCGGAGCAAAAGGGTCTTTCTTGCAGGTCTTCCCACAGGTAAAGTCGACGATTTGGGGAATGGGAAGGAAGTATGACGCAATACCAGTGTATATCTGGGTCATAGCCGATCCTATTGTCTTTGTCATCTCTGTTCCGAGCCGGGACTCGATCTAGCGCATAGCTTATCGATTTCTTCGGCTGACATTTTGTGAATTTTATCTGGAAGTGTACTCCCTAAAGTAATGTTTGGCTTTGCTACCAACAGCCAACGCCACCAGTTTCTCGCTATCATCATCCACCTGGGGTGATTGGGGTACCAACAATTGTTCGAGCAATTCCTCACACTCCATCTTATAATATAACAAGTAAGATTTAGTTTTAACTATATAATACCCGATGCAGGCAAAACACAGCTTAAATGAAGGTTAAGTTGCACAATTTATCTAACACTTCAAATACCATAGCTATAACTAAATGCTAAGCATTATACTAAGCATTGCTAAGCATTAAGCATTGCTAAGCTTTGCTAAGCTTTGCTAAGCATTGCTAAGCATTTGCTAAGCTAAAACACCCTATATGCTACTGGTTGGTCGGTCTTGAGCACGAGCTTAGCATGTTTAGTTTCAGCGAGCTGTTTCTTCACCCGCTCCCCGCTCTAATTTGCTTCATCACATCGCTTCTCTCAAACACTCCTCGAACGAATCCCTGTCCTTGCAATGAAATAAGGCCACCCATCGCGTCTGCTCCCCTGAGGTCTTTCAACACCGAAGTTGAACTTCTGCGGCCAGTACCCATACGCTGTGATTTATGCGGTCGGCCGGAGAAGGCCAGGTAATGATAGCATGTCTCTCTTTTGTTATCTCGATTAGCTGCAGTCGTCCAGTATGAACAGTGTAGACTTTTTAAATTTCTCGTGAAGAGCTTTCAACCAGTCCTGCAGGCGTGTTCCCGGTCGACTTTGTGTACGCCCGGTCCGCCATCACCCAAGGTCTTTCCGTAATGCTTTATTCATGCTCAGAGTAGGCACATGATAACGATGTTATCAAACACGCTCTTGTAGTAACCCTCCAACATATCCAACACGAAAACGTCTTCCCACAACCAGTCTGCCCGCGACACTATAGCGCAGTGTGGGGTCGCTGGGTAGCAATAGCTTGCTGGCAGGCAGTGATTCAGTAGATGCTTTACAGGCAAATCAGTAGATGGCCTGCACGAATCTCCCATTGTCTATATTAAGTTGCGCCCCATAATAACGCATAGATATAATTTCAACTTACCAGCCGGTTGAGCCTCTCTTGGTAATCTGATAGTAATCCCTCGCTGCCATTGTCTATGCGACGCCGCTACCGTAGTAGTTTATCGCCATCCGTGGATCGTGATGTCCAACCATAGGGCGACTTGGTGGTCAGGTATTCACCGATCTTCACGGAGGATAGGTCCAGGTCTTTGGTTACGTATGGGAGTTTGCTCGGTAGCTTTTTATCTCATCCCACCAAGCTGGTATGGCCTCATACCATGACTGAACAGTTGGTTGGGCACCCCTCGATGGTCACTTCCACCTTTTCAATCTCGGGTTGAAAAACTTCGCCGTCCCTCCGAACGGCTCGTAATCCTCCACGGGACGACAAGGATGCCTTTCATCGATCGCTGGGCACGCTCAGGTTGATATTCCACACACAGTGTCGCTCTTATCTCGCAGCATTCGACTGATCTATGCCTCAGTATGCGATCGTACAGGATGGCCATCTTCCCAGAGTACTGGCTTCAACCTGCCTGGCCAGCTCGGGCTAGTGACCATGCGTCGAACTCCAGAGAGATGTTGTCTATGCGTGAACTGGCCTCTATCACCGCTCGGGCGCAGACGCACTACTTTGCTGTAGTCGCTTAAACGTTAGCTCGTGATTCAAGCCTATCACCCAGCTGCCTGGTAAACGGGCGCTGCGTGCCCGTGAGCAACTCGAAGTCGAAAGGCACGCAGAACCGGGTTCCCCGCACGCTTGAGCGATGGCCTTTTCACCGGGCCCTGATCTTGTCTAGCTGTTCTTGAAGGCATACCCTATGCGCCGACGGGTTGATTTGCTGATACCCTGGTACACGCCATTGACACGCTTCTCCTCGCTTCCAGAGGTCCCCGTAGCAGTGAAACACGCCGCTGTCGCCGATGCTCAGCACCTCGTTACGCTGATCTTGATGGTGGTTTTCTTGATGATGGCTCGACCTACGCTCCGCGACTAGCTCACGCTTTGTCGCTGGTGGAGGTCAACGTGAGGTTGAACGCAAAGTCGAACCGCGCCTGGTACAATGAGGTCATTCTCGCCAAGGTTTGGAAATCTAACCAGCAGAGTTTGATTCTGGTCTATCTTGCTGGGATTGTTGGTGATGGTCACCGACTGGCGCCGCAGCTCTGGCACCTAGTGGCTCTCTTGATCTTCTGAAAGGATCTAGTTTTCTACCGTACATTGTTATATAAATGAAATATATTTTAATACTAAATAATGGCATGAGGACATACCTATGGATGATATGTGGGATGATAGTGCCCAGGCATTCGACGCAGAAAGCAGGAGACTTCATTCACTAACCCCTTAAGTACTGAACTTATACAGCCAGCTGTCAACGATTATTACAACGCAGTTGAAAATAGAGACAACATCAAGCCGCTGGGAAGGGACTATTCCAAGTTTACAGTCGATATTAAGGCACGCGGCGCTTTGAAGGCTTACCCGTGAGATCGATCTCATAGAATAAGCGCGAGAGAACCGCTTTGCTTTGTCAACACTCACCAGTCGCCATGGGGGTCAGCTGATCCGCGATGAACTAGGCTTCATAGATTACGGCGCGGCTACTGCCAAAGTTTCCCCAAAGGCCGTCCAAGATCTGCAAGCAGCCAGGGCCAATACTGGGGATGCTAAAGAAACGCCGGACAGTATCGGAAACTATTGACCACGCACCATGACAAACTCCTGCCGGTCTCGAATTTCCCCTGAGGGAACTGCTACGAGGCCTAGACGAAGCTCTTCCTTGAAACATGTACGCTGAGAACTCGTGGAACAACATGGGGAAACTTAATGAAATCGATGAGCACATCGCCATGCGAGAAAATAAAACTCACCGGGCCGGATGGTGATATGAAACGTCAGATCGAGGGAGAGAATAAAAACTTGGAAGACGAGACGGACTCGGTTGAAATGGGCCTCTAACCGGAAGCCCTCGATCACAGATCAGTAGAGTAATGGAAACCATCGATCGAGTCCTAAAATGAAGACACCACGCTTAGCTGACAGGATTCGATACTGTTCCGGAGCAAGGCATCACCATCGCCAGCATTCTGACTGCATTGGGTTTCATCATATCAACCCTGGTGGTGTCACTGATCGCCCACCGGGCGGCGGTGGGGTACCCTCACGCCTGCACCCACAGGTGGTGTCAAAGAGTGGATAAAAACTCGGGGCGCCCTGGCTAAACTGGCTGGTAAGGCTGCCGAGGCCCTACCCGCATCCTGGGTAGCATCGTCTCGTGGCTGCTAAGTGCTCTGGCTAAAACTGCCAAGTGGCTTAGTTTCAAACCTGTGGGTTATCGCCGCCATGGTGGGGTTTGGGTGTAATGAAGCGGCTAAGAAATTTTAACCAAATAAGCCCCAAAGCTACCCCACCAACCACCAGGGCTGTTTAACGATCGATGTGCTGCTGATTGATTGTGGGGCCACCCCCACAGGGCGCTTGGTTGAGCCCTAGGCTCGGGTGGTAAGCCGCTATACCCGTTTCACCTGGTCGTGGGTGGTGGACGGGGGACGCGCTACATCGCAGGTTGACGCTCAACTTTATGGTCCTTGCGGGCTAGCAACTATTTCGTTGTTGTAGCCCACCACTTTTTACTCTCAGTTGCATATCACTTTCGGGGCCATGTACAGCCCCACATCAATGAAGACGTGGTCGACTTTTCACCCTGGCATATTCCAACACGCCTTGGTAGCGCTTGATGGCACTCGGGAGATCAACTGGAGCATTGATAGCATCCTCTACGTTGACAACGAACTGTTTCTGTCGCCGTAGCAGTCCCCCTTACCGAGGATAATACTGGAACGCCGCTTATGCGTCAGGCGCACTCAACACCCGCCCACACGTGACGCTCGACCGAGTCGCTTTAAGCGCTTCAGTGCCGGCACGGAGTAAACCCTTTCGGCGTGTCCAACATAAACTTTTTCCAGTCATCCGCTGCCCCTCCTTGATCAAACCTCCAGACTCTGTACTCCTTGTTGGCATTGAAAGCCATGTAACGGTCATCCCACTCGCGTTGGTTGTGAAGAGATGATCACGATTTGTATCCCCAATCTTTCACCAGCAGTTTGCTGGCTTCCACAAGGGGCATTTGGTGAACGATGGGGATACCCAACCCGCGGTTCGGCCCTCGCAAACGCCAATCCGCCTTCGGGTTTAGTTCAATTGCTACGTAAATACGCTCACGTAGGCCCGCCTATCGCATACTTGTTGTTTACTGTGTTCCATGCATTTGTCCTGTGGGGAGCGGGGCGCTTCGATTTCTTTAAGGATACTTCCTGACCTGGTAGTACACGCGGAACTTGAACACAGACTGACTCAGCGGTCCACGCCGCGGTAATGTCGGTCAATGTCACACCACACCCCGCTAGTAGCTAATTACACGCGCGGTTGAGTTGATTCTGCCAGAACTGCATCGGGTTTTGAACCAAGCATGAACTACCTTAAGCTGTTAGTCACCAAAATTTATACAGGCTGAACACATCTAAAAGCTGGGTGTTGAAATACATCCCATCAGCAACCGCGATCTTCATGGGTGAGAAATCTATGTCCAGTTTAGGGTAAAACACTCCAGGGGAGTAAGACACTCCCGCGAGGATGTTCCCTACTTGGGAATACATTTTAAAACTATTATATAATGAGCATATATACTTATAACATGTACATAACACTTCCAGGAAATAACTGAGCGTGAGGCTATTCAGCTGACGACGCCGACGATAATACGTCCGGTCAACTCAAAGTCGCACTCCGCGCATATCACCACCTACCGCATCGAATGGACTAACATCAACGCCAGCAACAATAAGCTGTTCGTTAGCGGAACTTCGCAAGCCAGATAACTGACGGCTACTACAGCGTGTGCTCGCTTAAGCGATGAGGTCTTCAAACCCCTGGGAGCCTAACTCAAGATGAACGACTCAAAACGGCACAGTGGTGTTAATCAACAACGGAAGAAACTCCTTGAGGCTCGGCCCGGCCATTGGCGACACTTTCGGTATGTCACCTGGACGAGATAAAACCAACAACAACGTCACAGGCATCGAAGTTACCCGACCTTAGTACCGCATCGGTGAGCTGTACATTCATCTAAGGTCAGGTGAGCACAACGTGTTACAACATTCAAGGGGGTCACCCTTCCACTATACTGAGAGCCGCGGGCTGCGGTGAAACGGAGAAATACAACGGCGGTAGAACCGAGTCGCTTTCACCGCTGCAGTATAAGAGGTTGACTCAGGGCAACATACCTGAGCTGATAATATCGGTGTTGATATAAATCCATAATCCCGAATATAGGATACCTCAGCAGCTTAACGCTTCACATAAAATGACCAGCTTATAAGGGTCCGTGAAAAATGCGCCAATGTGGGGATCTCCTCGACCTCGGGACACACGCGGTTTCGACGGATCCGAGTAGATGGTAAATTGTACTGGCAACTGAAAACAACATTTGCCAAACGCTGAAGTCCCCTCCGGTGGAGCCCTAGGTGATATAGTAGATACCTCTCAAGAGCGGTAGTCAACACTAAGTACACCCTAGTCACCACCGGTAATGATAATTGGATAATATACCCATCGCTCGGGGCAAACTGTTCGACTTAGACGATGTTGAGAGCACTACCGTCAGCCCGAAACAAGCCATATAAGCTCGCCTTCACCAAGATGACAAGTGGGTGTTGTTACCAGATAAAGACGACTGGTTTCTCAATATTAGGCTCGGCTCCCTATGTGTTCACGGATAACAAAGACAACCACCTAAACAAAGTCGTTAACAACGGAACCCTGCTCGTGGCTTACGCCCCGACTCAGAGACGAAAGCGAATCATCAGCCCAGTCGCCAGTATGGCAGCCCACATGCTATCGAAAGTAAAGCGGGCATGCAAAACGTGACATTGCAGTTGGTGTCTGAATTTGAAGGCGTGGTCAGGATACTAGAGAGTCTACCGCTTTAACTCAACACTGATCATCAAAGTCTACCTAGGGAACCATCGGGGAATGATGTCGAGATCGTGGAAGGGGATCAAACTTGGGTGGGTGAAACGACACCAGTATCACGCTTTGCACAGTTTACGCAGCGGGTGGGTGTCGGCTCCAACACCAGTCTGCAGGGTGTCACCGTGATCGTAAGAAAACACTATATCACTAACCAAGATCTTCCTACCTGACAACATACACTTCATGGGGTGAAGTTAACCCTGAACTATTATCAGAAAACCAGTTGGAAACTATATCGTAGTAGTATTATAGCAATGACCAGTCATCGTCCCCAACACTAACGCTTTAATGACCTAGGGGACACACGGAGGGGTTTGATCAGCCTGGTGAGGAAGGTGGCTCATACATCCTACACTTGAAAGACAACGGTATAGGCCCGGGCAGCAATAGCCGATCATCTACCCAAGCCCACACTCGAGGGCCTAGGGGGCACCGGAGGGATTCGATCAGCCTGGTGAGGAAGACACCTTATACATCCTACACTTCAAAGACAACGTGTATAGGCGGGTAAGTCGTTATCAGATTTTAAAGAGCCTGAATGGTTACTCAACTTAACCCTCACTGCACCTTATATCACCTTGAGACAAGATGGTACTGTCTCCCGAGCTTAAGAACAATGGCATAATTATAGGATCGCTCGTTCCGAAACCCACAGGCCTACTTGTAGATGGAGTGCTATATCCAGAATCTAATATATATATCGCGACCAATACCAGACCACTCGGGCAACATGTTAACTTCAGGGAGAAGGTGAAGACAGAGATCAAATTACTTGATCACCAAGAGGTCTTTAGAAATGTCGCTGAAAACTACATTCCTCATAGACGCCTATCTCGAGATAACCCATAGCTTGGGGCGTATATTCACATTATGGCCGGTATGGTCATAAATTGGGAAGCCAGGTGTAATGGCAAACGCTGCCGTGATTTCAAGGTATCGGAAACAGACCTGTAGCAAGCCTTGATGGAGTTCGTCTCCTTAATGGAAGTAGAATTAAGACCCCGCTTTTTTACGTGCACACTAATCTAAGTTATATCAGCTTTAAGTACATTAGCGAAGGTTAACTGAAACTCAATTAAAATATCTTTTGTAATATATATTATAGGATGGGTCTGTACCCAGTCGTAGAGGAAGTAGCTGGCGACCCTGGAAACCGTGAGATCGGGTTCCGCTTTGAGGCAGTTATGTGATGTGAAACGCCAACTAGAACAAGACCACGACACGCCGAAAGCACTGTGTAAGAAGTACCATAGAGCTTTCAATATCGTGTGGGCGGGCTGATACTACTGCCTTATGGCAACCAGCACGGGACTAGGGGCGCGCAGGTGTTGGGTTGTTAGCTACCATCGTGGCCGCACCTATAGTGCTAGGTATCGAAATAACAGCTGGGGTGGCAGGGGTGTTAGGGTTGGCTTAAGTTGGCATCACGCAGACTACATCGGAAGGCATTGAAACATGACGAGATCAGGGTTCTGGCGCGAAGCAAAGCTCAACACAGTAAGTGAGCGTATTTCTACGGCACTCACTGACAGTAAGATCTCAGAGGAGGAGTTTAGTTCAATCCTCTCTGAACTCACAAAAATATAACAAAATGAAACAAGAGATTCGATCCAAGTCCTCGTAAGTCTACTATCAGCTGCAGGGCGAGAAAAAAAAATACATAGAACAAGGGGTGAAAAAGCCCGGCAAGCCTTTATTACAAACACCAAAGAGATCATAGGCGATTCACATTAAACTGTTTCATCGAGGTAAACATGGCATAAGCTGCACGCTAGGCGCAGCCCATGCAATCCCAGGATACCAACACACTCCAGCCATGCCCCGGTAGCTGCGGCTAGGAGGTGCGTTCGCGATCCCCCAACTTTTGTAGTAGGGGTAATGGTAGCAAGAGCTATATCCCACCAAAGCCTTACTTGTGAAATAAGGCTTTGCAGAGGCTTTGGTTGAAAGTGATCCAGAACCCCCATTGTATATACTACTAATTATGACATAATTTAATTTTCTTTTATTCCCGTTCTTACTTTAAAAGAAACTATTTACTGTATTATTACATAAAACACTGTGCAAAAATGGCTGGGCTGGCCGATATTTAGATACAACTTACTATATTTTTACAAATATTAGCATAATTATTAAACTATAAAATCAAAATCCAATACCATTCACATCATATATTTTCTGGTTCTATTTGTGGGCATACACATATATTGTTAAAAGGAATAATTAGCTATATTTTAAAATATCATTAGATATTGCAAGAAAGTCATATTTCAAGTTGAGCAGTAACCATTTCTGGGAATGAATGAACCATTATGAATACAAAATGAATGAAAACACCTGACACCTAAATTCAGCATCCACAACCAGGAACATCACTTATTTTAAGCCAGTAGAGTAATTAGAGTAAAGCGTATGAAAATGAATTCTATTTCGCTTCAGTTTCACGTTTCTACATTTTTCGCGTTGCTATATTTAGCTATTATGGCGACATCGACTATGGAGCTGCCATTGGCATTTTTAGCAGTCAGTAGTTAAAATAAAGGACACGAAGTTGTGCAGCTGATTTTTATCTTAATAATTGTTTGTAGATTAAATACATAGTTGACAGTAACACATATAATTCTCCATATTAGTTATCCCAGTTCTGGTCGTATCCCAGTTCTGGTCGCAACAGACCAACGTGTGTAAAGCCACTGTTACTTTTAAGTCATTAAGATAACGTTGGGCCAATGTTGTCAAACCGTTGGCCAACCAACCATATTATGCCATATACCAACACTGGCCTAACACACCTTTGCTATCTGGTATGGTCTCTGGTCCATTCACTTCATCACGGATGAAGTTTAAGGAGTTTTACTCATTATGCTGAAGACCGGGTTAATTCCCACATGGGTACAATGTGAGAAGCCCATTTCTGTTGTCCCCTGCCATGAAATTGCTGGAATATTGATAAAAGAGCCATTAAACCCAACTATCTCACTCACTAACGTTATACAATCACCATGGTGAAAGATGGAGAAAGACAAACTGGAAGACAGGGACAGTGCACACATGTTTATTTCCTGTGTTGACAGAAAGTTTTTGTAATGAATCAAACTCAAATCAAGATCAGATCTTAGAGCTAGCTACCATAGTGATCACTTTGATCTGATTTTAACCAGTTACATGTCAATACTACACGCATGAGAAATGATAGATGCTTGGCCTAATATGTACATCTGTAGTATCAACCCTGACAACTTATATTTACAATAAACAGATAAGAATCTTTATTTCCAAGGTTGATACAACATTCTGGTAATAAATATACTTCTGGGCCTAGATCTGCTAAACGCTCATAACCCAGACAAACTTCTTAAGCCCATTCTTAACACATTGGCTACTGATCAAAGTTAGAATTCTTTGGTCATGAGTATGAACGCTTCAAAAATCTAGGCCCAGTTCTTCACTATAAGGAATGTGGCAGATAGCATCTGCTTGGCTCAGTATGTACACCATTAGCAATCGTGAATTCAATTTTGTTTCCTTTCCAGGTCTGATGTCCATGGAGATTAACACATCCTAGTAGCCTTTTCATATGTGCATTGCATGCCATCTATATTCAAAACGGAAAACAAACAAAAATAGAATAAAAATTAAATGAACCCTTTTTCCAAATGAACCCTTCTCTTAGCAGGTGAACCTTTTACTAATTCACCTCACTTGGTGTCATTTTTAGCAGCATTTTGAACATTGGCCAAGCAATAAACAACAGTTCTATTTTTGACAGATAGACACAGTTACTTTGTCCCCAAATGAAAGTTATGTAATCTTATTTTATTTTATTTGTTTCAAGTATCACAATTCAGGTACTCTCTTGAAATTTACTGAGCACTTCTGTCTCTGGGATGTTATAACCATGACCTGAAAACACTACCTAAAATCAGATCCATCTAGTTTATAACTATAAGACCAAGAAGAAATGAAGTCCAGCCTAGTTGTATTATACAGCACAATCACATGAACCTATAATTAATATATTTGTTCATGCTAATACACAATTCCTTGAAGGTTCCAAGGAATTGTACAACACAGACAGCTCACTCTACCAGTTGTTGACAACTGACACCAGTTAGACACACCTGACTGTACAACACAGAAAGTTCACCCCAGCTGGTTACAACTGACACCAGAGAGACACATGTGGATGTACAACACAGACAGCTCACCCTATCAGCTGGTTACAACTGACCAAGGTGAGCACTTATGTTAATGTACAACACAGAGAGCTCACCCTATCAGCTGGTTACAACTGACCAAGATGAGCACTTATGTGAATGTACAACACAGACAGCTCACACTACCAGTTGGTGACAACTGACACCAGATAGACACATGTGGATGTACAACACAGAGAGCTCACCCTATCAGCTGGTTACAACTGACACCAGAGAGACACATGTGGATGTACAACACAGAGAGCTCACCCTATCAGCTGGTTACAACTGACCAACATGAGCACTGATGTGAACATATAAGATGGACAGCTCACACACAGACATTCTAAGGATTCAATGTTTCAGTGACAAATTTCTTCAGATTACAATGTTCTAAACCATGACCCAGGTTACTAACTGAGGGCTCCCCAGATGCTGACTTCCAGACTTTGAGGATAGCAAAGATCATATCTGTCCTGTCCTTTCTCTCATACTCCTTCCTGATCCTGTCTATATCAACCTGGCTTACTTCCAAGTGTAGTGCTGAAACCAAGAAAAACTCATCAGACAAGATTTTCTTGTTTGCAATGTGGTTCTGGTCACATGTTTAATGGTTAAAAAATAAATTCAATTCTGTGCTTGAACAAATATACAACTCAAGTTTCAAAACATCCTATTTTTAGGGCTCCTTGCCACAAGGCAGAAGACCTATTGTTACTTTTCGTGTTTTTATTACTAGTATTTATTTATTATTTTGTTCAACTCGTTCAAAGAGCACCATAACAGCATCGCTTGAAAAGAATCACCCAGATGCCCACCGAGGTGTAGATATTCCCCATAAAAATCTCAAGGCTCTAGGCCTAAGAGCAAAGGGCAGATAATGCAAAATTAATTCAAAATTTTAAATTTCCAAAGCAATAATATCCGAAACTATATGTCCAATGACTACTAAATTTCTGGGGCAGCTCTGGAATCTGATTACCTTCAATTTCAACTGCAGAAACCATGGGGCTAAGAGGCACCGTTTGGACGTCATATTGGATTGAAGGAAATTTGACCTTTTGATGGGTAGGCATTTCCGCTAATCCATAACTCTGAATGTGTGAGGTCTAGAACTTTGCAAATTTGCACATATAAAGTTTATATTTCAAATATGAATAACCTCCTGTTGTTTAATTTCTACTAAAATGTATCTTAAAAAATCACAGCGGCATTACTATTTCAGCTACGCAGCTAGAATCTGGCAGCATGCAGTAAGGTCCATATTTGGAAGGTCCGCTCTCAGGTCAAAAACGTGTTCTGGCTCCATTTCAATGCAGTTCAATCTTTGCAATCTAGTTTTACAGAACGTCCATTACTTCTAGTTAAAATGTTTTCAGCCAGCTGCATTAAATTTGTCAGAGCTGGTGGGGATGTCATCCTTTCAGTTAAAACAAATAAATGATTAGCAATTGAACGTGCAACCATTATTCTTATTTCTTCAATTTCTAATAAAGCCAACACGCTTCCAAAGCCATAAGTGCCATTATCCAAAACCATACCACACAATCCTTTGTATCTAGCCCTCAACCATTAGAATTCAAAGTTAATAACTGAAGCTTTTCTCATTACTGACAGCAATATGCTCCATATTACCTGTAGCCATTACTACTTTCGACATCTACGTACAAATGGCTAGATTGTATTACAGCCAAGGAGCCTGACATGGCTGCTCACAACTATATTTATATATATATGACTGTAGACATCTTCCATATCTGTGTGTATTGCAACAACATGGTGCCTATGCTGTTGGTCATGGTAGAGTTACATCCCTTTGGTGTGCCAGAAACCTATGATGATAGGTTTGAATCCTGTTTTGCACTGTACCTGTGTTTAGGTTTTACAGCACCCTAACCCATTAGTGTGGGTTTTGAACAAAGTGATAAATAGATTTCGATAGCTTCCTTCCACCTTAAATTGACAAGCTGACAAATTTCTCACCTAATTTTCTATATTTATCGTCTTCAAATCGTAGCTTGTTGGCAAGTTCTTTTAATTCGGTATCTGTGACTGTTCTTCTTGAACCTAGAAAAGATAATATAGAGTGAGTGAGTGTGTTGGGTTTTACACCACTTTTAGCAATATTCCAGCAATATCACGGTGGGGGACACCAGAAATGGGCTTCACACGTTGTGCCTATGTAGAGAATTGAACCTTGGCCTTCGGCGTGACGAGCGAACGCTTTAACCACTAGACTTCCCCACCACCCCAGATAATACAGACATAAGGAAAGATAATATAGACATAAGGCAAGATAATATAGACATAAGGCAAGATAATATAGACATAAGGAAAGATAATATAGACATAATGAAAGATAATATAGACATAAGGAAAGGTGATATAGACATAAGGAAAGATAATATAGACATAAGGAAAGGTGATATAGACATAAGGAAAGATAATATAGACATAAGGCAAGGTGATATAGACATAAGGAAAGATAATATAGACATAAGGAAAGATAATACAGACAAAAGGAAAGGTGATATAGACATAAGGAAAGATAATATAGACATGAGGAAAGGTGATATAGACATAAGGCAAGATAATATAGACATAAGGCAAGATAATACAGACATAAGGCAAGATAATATAGACATAAGGCAAGATAATATAGACATAAGGCAAGATAATATAGACATACGGCAAGATAATATAGACATAAGGAAAGGTGATATAGACATAAGGAAAGATAATATAGACATAAGGATAGGTGATATAGACATAAGGAAAGATAATATAGACATAAGGAAAGATAATATAGACATAAGGAAAGATAATATAGACATAAGGAAAGATAATATAGACATAAGGAAAGGTGATATAGACACAATGAAAGATAATATAGACATAAGGAAAGGTGATATAGACATAAGGAAAGATAATATAGACATAAGGAAAGGTGATATAGACATAAGGAAAGATAATATAGACATAAGGAAAGATAATATAGACATAAGGAAAGATAAAATATACATAAGGAAAGATAATATAGACATAAGGCAAGATAATTTAGACATGAGGAATATCATAATTACAAAATGTGCATCAGTTGATGAGCTTAATGATATTACGGTACAATAGGTTTCATGAGCATGACATTTCTGGAATATACACAAAGCATATTTGAGAACTGATTGTTACCACTAGTTATTGATCAGTTTTGTCCAACTAGTTGATGAAACTTGTGTTGAGGAATGAATAAACTTGAGAAAAAAAGGATTCATTAATCTTGAATAGTTGATAATAATCATTGGTTACCTCAGACCTAGCAATTTGCCATGTAATATTCCAACAAGACAAATTAGTACATCTTATCATTAGTTTTACAGTTTCTTCTTCTTTCCTTGCTTAATTTACTTAATAAAACAATTAATCCTTGAATAATGAAAACAAGAATGTGTGTCTCCTTCAGGATTTTCACTTACTTTCCACATTTAAAAGGTTAAAGCAAACCATGAGTTGTATTTTTTTTGTGTATTTGTAGTTTTGTGTGTGTGTGTGTGTGTGTGTGTGTGTGTGCGTGTGAACATGCGTGGGTTGGACTAAGAATAATAATTGTTGTTTAACGCTGCATTTAGCAATATTCCAGCGATAAAGCAACAGTCTGTAAATAATCGCGTCTGAACCAAACAATCAAGTGATCAACAGCATGAGCATCCATCTACACAATTGGGATATGAAGACATGTCAACCAAGTCAGCAAGCTTGACCACCCGATCCCGTTAGTCGCCTCTTACGACAAGCGTGGGTTGCTGAAGACCAATTCTTGCCCGGATCTTCACATACCCAAATACGTGATATTTTGCAAGGCTGCATGTCCTTTTCTGTGGTTGCAAATGTCAGTGTAATACCATTCTGTTTAACATCACACACCAGTTTTAAATAGACCGTAATCGTTTCTGTTGACAATCATGTGTGTTTTACACCCATATGTGTCAGAAACAGAAATTGTTTTTCAGGTTGAAGAAAAAAGATGTTGAGGTTCTGTTTCTGTGTATGGAGCCACATGACAACAATTACAACAAACAACAAGCGAAATTAATCAACATATACCTTGTACCCGTTGGCCAAGATGTCTGACAAATGGGGATATTTGTCACAAGGCACCAGTCAATTTCTAATCACTTATTGCACATGTCTCTTGAGACTTAGACATTCCATCAATTCAGGATCATAAAGTAATAAATACCTAAAATTTCAATGTATCTGTCTGTTTTCATGTCTGTGCGTTGGTTGTTCCTGTTCTCTTCTTCATCTTCGTCGGAGGAAGATTCGGAGGAGGAGGGGGGAGAGTAATGGGGGGGACGCCAGTTTGGTTGTTGGTTGTAGGTTGGTTGTTGTCTCGGTGTTCGTCGAGTCTCCCGGAACTGAACAGAGTCCTCGATCCGCCCTTTCTGTATGTAGTAAATGTCTCTTTGGCCTGTGTTGTTGTCGATGCAGTCAAATACGTTGATGGTGGCATTTTCAAGGAGATACACAAACTGGTTTCTGATTGTCACTGTAACATACAACATAGCGAGAGGGTGAGAGGGTGGGTGGGTGAGTGAGTTTAGTTTTACACGGCTTTTAGCAATATTCCAGCAATACAAGTCAAAACATTGATTACACAACAGTCTTGTTTCCTGTTGACTGGGTTCCATCCTATTGAGAAACTTAGTACAATAACCAGTCCAGACTTTTGAGACCAATTCATTTAACTGCATACATAAATATTAATCAGTATTTTTTTAATACATCTAAGCACTTGTATATTGCAACACTACGCTCCTTCTTATCCTTGCAAACACGTCATACAGCGAGCTCTGACAAACGGAAACATGGAAATCATGGAAATCTCAAATGGGCTCTGCCGCTAGAACAGTTTGTCGGTCTGGTACGGACTTGATATTATATCAATCAAATTGTGCGTTACAGAACTACTCTGGATAAGCGCATAAAGACACATAACAGGTGTAACCAGTGAGTCAGATGCATTGTGAATCATTTTAAGACCTCATCAAACAGGGGCAGTCTGTGACGTCTTTGTTAAGGTCATGCTGCCTACACCTCGCCATAAAATATAGAAATACGATGTTACTAAAGTTTAAAATTAAATTTCATTCGTAAATACCATTTTCTTATGAAACAAGGAATTGGTATTCAGTGTAACCATAGTTGTTTGTGGTGTCTCTTTTCACTTTCACACGAGAGAATTCGGATCGGCTGAAAAGTAGGTCATTGTCTGAATAGGTTAATGAGACTCATGTTTCGATTTGCATAGCAGCGGACACCAGAAATGGGCTTCACACCATGTACCTATGTGGGGGAATCAAACCTGGGTCATTGGGGTGACAAGTGAACACTTTAACCACTGCCCCACATGCAACACTGGGTTGGTAAGGCACAAAGCAGTCTCTTGCACCAGGAAAGTAATAAAGTGGTATCAATGCTCATCAGGTACAATATGAATGTCATATGGGTTTAGTTCTAGTTTGTTTCAACATTGCACTCAGCAAGATTCCACCTGCGCCACATCGATATCCAAGTCCAGTGATTGACATCATGAGCATCAGTCAACACAGTTGGAATACAATGAGTGAGTGAGTGAGTTGGATTCAATGCCACTTTAAGCAATATTCCAGCAGTATCACGGCGGGGGACACGAGAAATGGGCTTCACATATTTTACCCATGTGGGGAATCGAACCCGTGCCTTCAGCGTGACAAGCCGAATGCTTTAACCACTAGGCTACCCCACAGCCCCTGGTATACAATGACGTCCATTAACCAAATGATTGAGTCTGAGTGTCACTGGACACCTCTTACAACAAGCCTGGGTTGCTAAAGACTGAGTCTTCACTGAGACTGTCAGTAGGATGTATGTTTAATATGAGATGACAGCGTGATATCAATGTATGATACTGATGCAACAAATATCCACTAAAATTATAATATTTCGTTATGCTGATTTTGCCAAAAACATTTTAATTTATCAAAATCAACAACTTCGGTTGAAGTAGAGTACAGAGCCCAATCATTATGTTTTTTATTTAACAAACATAACATTATCATATTTGGTTACGCAAATTCTCATGATAATATTCATCAACATAATCAACATCGGTACAAGCACTTATCATCAAGATATTCTCTCACCATTTCTTATCAGTGTATCTATAAATCTGGACCAGTGCTGGGGCAGTACTTGCCCTTAGTACCTACGGCTAACTTCAGTTAACAAGAATGCATTACTTTATTCCCAAACACTAGTCTTGCTGTCCCCTGCTGAAATATTGCTTAAAAGTGGCGTAAAACTAAACTCACTCACATAAGGTGAGGTGAGGTGAGGTGAAATTGGGTTTTACGTCATGCTTGAGAATATTTCGCTCATATGACGACATGCATGCATGTGTATGTGTATGTGCGGCTGCTTGTACTAGCCCAGACTTAACCTGGCTTTATAGTGCTAGCCCACTGAGATACCATGCCGCAGTGAAGCATGAATACCCCACTCAGACACATTATACTGACTCCGAGCCGACCAGTCCTTGTTGTACCCATTAATGCCGAGCGCCAGGCAGGGACCAACAAGTACCATATTTTAACGTCTTGTTGGTATGACACGGTTGGGGATCGAACCCGCGACCTTCTGCTCTCCAGGCGGACACTCTAACCACTACACCATGGAGGCGGTCACTCACTTAAGGAAAGACTGACCTTAAACACAGTGATTTTCAACAAGTAGGCATTATGTTACATTGCTCTGTCACATTGTCATTAGGACTTACCACTTGGTTGCCGGGCCATGTTGATTTGTTTAACAGATCACTGTTAACTGGAAATAAAGACAAACATACAATATTTCAATATTAAAGGTTATGGTGGCTGTTGTCATTGGCATTTTAAAACATATTAAGGATGAGGGACCGGACATATTGTCTGTTGAGATTTTCGAATAATGATGTATCAACATGCTTGGTGTGGAGAGAAAGGGATGTTGTTAGCTTGACATTTTTAAAAGCAGTTAGATAATATTATGGATATATTTTTAAGAGTTTAACCTGAGTTTTGTAACATAACAGGCTCATCGATGGTTGTTGCTCATCGATGGTTGTTGCTCATCGATGAAGAACTATTTTCATTCTCTCATGCGGTTACTACATTTACCTCTAGGAACGATTGCTGGTCACATGAGTAATAATGTCTCTATACTTTACTGTCTCAGTGTCTCCCTGATTACATTTACAATAACTTCATAGTTACATAGTCCTGTGGTTGAGACAAAAATATATGTCATCGTCTCACCACAATAAAGCTCTGGTGCATGAATTCTGAAAACTGTTCACGAATTTCAAGGATTCGTATGTAAGACTATTGATGACTATTACCTTTATATTCCAGCTCAAACTCACTGCCTTTCAGTTTATGGGAACAGGCACAAGGGGATTCCCCAACATTCGACCCATCCTTTCCGTGTCGAGGTAAGATAAATTACCCTGAAAATATGTAACCCTCGTGTTGGGATCATATCACAATCTTTTACATAAAATAAGCATGGAAATGTTAACAATGGTACACTTGTCGGGACAAAATATGTTGTATGTAGATGTTAGCATAAAAATACCTTACACCGTCGAACAAAATAATTTGTGTTGAGAAATAAACTGACCATTATGACAGGGTCAATAATTACCATGAACACCGCCCGTGGTTTAACGATAAATGCCGAACGCAGACTCGTTTCGGCTTGTCCCGGAATAACACGAGTTGGTCACGAATGTACTCGCCTACTTGCCGGAATGACACGAGTAGTTACGAATACAATCTTTGAGTGAGCGACTCTACACAAAGATTAATGCGTTGTATGCCCGCGCAAAGCAACAATCATGGAGCCAGTTGTGAAAATCGTCACTACTATCTCTGATCTCCGTTCCAAAAACCCGGGGTCTGCTGCGCTACACTTCCATGGGAGATAACTCATCATATTTGATATCCGGTTTATGATAAACATGCTTCGACGAAGTTTGACGTGCATTTGTCGATATTCTGGTCGACTGATGTCGCCCACTACATTACATGTAACAAGAACACTGACATCGGGCTATAGAAGTCAATATAGCATTGACAAGATATACCCAAATAGCGATCAAGATTATTTTGGCTCAACAGCATTCACGGTTGGTATATGTGTGGATAGGCTGTCCTAATTTCGATCACATTGTTTGATTCGTATGGCGGTGTTGATCAGCTGGTGTTCGACAATATTCCAGCCTTATCAGACGCCACACGTCATATTGAGTCTTGTTATTGATAGAATCGTTCAGCCGTATTTTACATGTCCATTTATCTACTTCTGGATGCAAGTAAATGGTTGCAATAGTCTCCTTAGTCTAGTACTCAGTCACGAGCAAATTCATTTGGAGTTATTTTCCAAGTCATTTTGCCACAAAACATCAGAAATACAACAACAACAAATACAAAAAATACTAAAAAAAATGATCTGGACTAACTGATTATTAAAAGTGTAGATAATGGATGAACAATGCAATGTGTTAACAACTGACTGACTGACTGAGTTTGGTTTTACGCCGCATTTAGCAATATTCCAGCAACATCACGGCGAGGAACACCAGAAATGGGCTTCACACATTGTACCCATGTCTTGATTCGAACCCTTGTCTTCGGCGTGACGAGCCAACGCTTTAACCACTAGGCTACCCCACCGCCCCGTTAACAACTAACAACTCCGTCAGCATTACCATGAATACGAAGTAGATATGCATTATATGCAGCACTCGCAGTGAACAATGTGACCTTGTAGCAATGTGATCATACACTGTACAGTCAAAAGAGATCCTACGCTGTCTGCTGGTTTGCAATCATTTGCTTTGCAGTGTTGGTTGTACACTAACACGATGTATAATATTATAAACCAGAGACATCTAAGTTGACACTCAGGTTTTATGCGATGCAGAAATGTGCATCCAGTATGCACAAGCATACAGAATGAAAACAGAAAAAAAAGATAAACATTGCATTCTGAGGGATCCATGATAATATTCATTGTACCACATTCTTGACAAGAAATATTTAAAAGTTCTTGTAATCTTGTTCTTGTTAAGTAATTATTTAATCGCACAACAGAGTACATTATACCGTTACTTAACTTTACAGGACCCTCATAATTAGTGATTAGAGGACATGTCGATTCAAAGTGTTGTAGGTCAAGTAAAAGCCCACATTAGTTTTGGATAGATAATAGTTCTTTATCAAATAAAAACAGAAGCTAACTAGTCACATTCATTGCCAGCGCACAGTGGCAAAGCACTTTCAGAGCTTTTATCAGCAGGTGTATTTTACCAATTTGATTATTAAATATAGTGATAAAGTATTTGTCAACTAACCAGAAGTGCAGCTGAATAGTTAGGCAAAATACATGGCAAATAAAATAAGATCAGTGAGGGTACAAAACATGTGCCATGGTGGCAGATAGGACCAGCAGAATCATAGCGATGCACCCTCCATATCTTTAGTGTTATTTTTCAGTGGCTAGTATATCAGAAGTTGTAATTTTACAGTCAAAACACAGTGTATGAAATATGACTCCATGTTATTAGTGTATGAAATATGCCAAAAACCCAGCCACACAACATGGATGGTAACTTCAAGTCGTTACCAGCCCTAAATGGATTTAACCAGACCAGACACCAAGATATTTTTTTACCAGACCATCGGCTGACTAGCTGTAAATTTAGACCTTCTGTCAGAAATCTAGCCCATCTCGGGCGGTCGAATGGGCCTTATTTCATACACTGATGTTATATGATCAGCTTTCTGCTTCATGAAATGATTAATGATTCATATTTTCAGCAATCAAGTTCAGTAACACCGGATGGGAAAGAGCTGTTTTCAGGATATATTCCAATAAGTATGTATAACCTTCAGAATCCTAACATTCCTAATGTGTATATTCCAGGAATGTCACAGATATGAAACCTGTGCTATGCAATGTGTATATGGTAGGGACCAGTAGTTGTCAGAAGTCCCTTGTACATCTCACCAGTCCCTGAAGTATTCTTCTCTAGGTCCACCAAAATATTTATAGACAGTTTATTTTCAAAGGTAACGGACTAGACAGCACCTATTTATACACATAGCAATTATGTCATGGATAGCACTCAAGCAGGAGGATCATTCCTGTTAAACAAATCATTGAAGGTGAGGTGAGGTGAAATGGGGTTAACATCATGCCGAGAATATTTCGCACCATATGATGGCGATGCATGCGTGTGTGTATGTGTATGTCGCGGCTGCTTGTACTAGCCCAGACTTAGGCTGGTTTTATAGTGCTAGCCCACTGAGATACCATGCGCATTGAAGCATGAATACCCCCCAGACACATATATCACGGACTCGAGGCTCACCAGTCCTTGTTGTACCCATAAATGCCGGAGCACCAGGCAGGGACCAACAAGTACTGCATTTTGACGTCTTTTGGTATGGCGAGGCTGGGGATCAAACCAGCGACCATTAAGCTCTCCGGCTCTTCTTGAATAAGAATACAATGGGGGAGAGTGTCAAGCATTACAAGATCGCGATGTGCATAATTGATATGTTAGTTTGTATATCATTATTGTAATATCAACAAGCACTACAAGATCACATGTGCATAATTGATATATTAGTATGTATATCATTATTGTAACATCAACAAGCACTACAAGATCACATGTGCATAATTTATATATTAGTATGTATATCATTATTGTAACATCAACAAGCACTACAAGATCACATGTGCATAATTGATATGTTAGTATGTATCATTGTTGTAACATCAACAAGCACTACAAGATCACATGTGCATAATTGATATGTTAGTATGTATCATTGTTGTAACATCAACAAGCACTACAAGATCACATGTGCATAATTGATATGTTAGTATGTATCATTATTGTAACATCAACATGCACTACAAGATCACATGCATAATTTATATATTAGTATGTATATCATTATTGTAACATCAACAAGCACTACAAGATCACATGCATAATTTATATATTAGTATGTATATCATTATTGTAACATCAACAAGCACTACAAGATCACATGTGCATAATTTATATATTAGTATGTATATCATTATTGTAACATCAACAAGCACCGCAAAGTATAGTTGTGTTATTTTCATGCATTTAGAACATGGGTATTTCACTCATATAAAAGCATTATTGAGCTAAATACCTATAAACAAGATAAATTTGTATTGTAAAATTATAAAATTGTTATTTCCATGTCTCATTTTGGCAAACAAGAGTGATATAGTATGCAGACTAGGTTGTGTTATGATATATTATCCACAGATTATATACTGAAGTCACTGATTTTTTATTGATTGTCAGTCTTTATTCTGTTATTTGTTATTTTAGATAAACTTGACATCAAGTATTCTAGGAAGTGGCCCAGGAGGTCAGAACGTCAACAAAGGTCTGTCTGATTTTCCATAAAATATATATTCATTGTTACCATAACTCTCACACATGTCATAACTATGTAGTTCGTTCTGACATGTTCTGTTGTCAAATCTTATGAGGGATGTCACGATACATAGGTTTCCATCATGTCATCGATACACATTTAATGATTCGATCACGCATCACAATACCTATTTTCGCGGGCATTATTGCATAAATTTAGTTACATTTTGAACATTAATATTTCATATTTTATAATTGTCCTTGAAAAGATCAAGATTTTATATGCTCAGAGATTAAAAGTTCTAATTTCCCATTTTGTGGATGAAAGATAATGGCTTTATAATTCTCATAGCATGATACAATTGCAAAATGTAAACAGTACATGAACATATTTAAACCGATACTTTCAAACCTAAATATCGATATACATGTAGTTTTGAATTTTTGATAATTGTATCATCTTAGAAAAGTATCAAAGAATCGATGCATCAATGTAGTGTGGCATCCATGGGCAGATCCAGGAATTTGAGGGGGGTTTGGGGGTGTTCCCTACCCTCTACTACCAAAACAACAACAAAAACAAACGTAAAATGTTGTTTTTTCAATGTGGTTTTAAAGCATTTTCCGAGGTGTGTGTGTAGGAGCAAGTCATATCAAGTTGACATATTGCTAGAGTGACTTTCACCATCTTGACCATGCTGCTTTTATTGTCTAATCTCATTAACATTGGTTCTAGGTGGTCGTTACCATGCAGCACAAAAGATCACAAGACACAATAATGATCCTATTACAGATCATGTGAAGATCCAGTTTAGAATTGATCTTCAGCAAGCAATGCTTGTCGAAAAGAGGCAGCTAAGGTGATCGGATAGTTGGGATGCTGACTTGGTTGACACATTTCATTACATCCAAGT